CTCGGTGAGCACGAAACAGTTGTGTCACAAGACGATTGAAGTAGCTGGGGCATCGGACAAGCCCTGTGGCATAACTAGCCACTCCCAGAGCATACCGCTCGGGGTACTGACCGCTGTCAGCGGAATATCCTTCTCACGCAGGAGCAATTGGTAATAACCATTGACTAAGTCGAGCGCACTGTACATTGTACATCCCACCATGTTGTTCGAAGAACATTTTTCCTATAGATTGGTGTCTGAGCCGGGATGGTAGCAGCATTAAGCTTATTGTAAGCATGAACAATGCGCCACTTCTCATTGGGCTTTCGGACACAAAATGTGGGCGTGGAATGAAGAGATTTGCTCTCACGAACCATCCCCGCTGCGTGCTTTGCACGAAAGAAGTCGTCTATGACGTCACACTTCTCCTTTGGTAAAGGCCACTGCCGTGTTACGCAGTATTTAGTTCCAGGTACTAGGTCAATTTCATGACGCACACCTCTATCCGGAGGTAAGACAGACGGTGGGTCGTGACACACCACGTCTTGAAATTACTTTACTAAAGGATAAAACGGATCAAGACGATCCTTAAGATCGATGATCCACTACGCGAATTAAGTGTTGCCTTTGTGTCCTCAAGGACTGACTCGTCCAATAAAGAGGATGAGTTTAACTCAACATCGGGTCGAATGACCACTAAGTCGAATAACTATCCTGCCTTTAAGGCTTGGCTGAATTTGCCATCAGACATTTCATCTAGTTCAAAGAGACTATCTAGAGAAGGAAGAGTCTCAAGAGTAATGTTGCCAGCAACATGGCCGGTCATTCCATTGACAAGTGTATATAGTGTATTATTACCATTATCACTCCTTAACATCTCGGACGTCTGGCGCTTGACAGTTGCCACCCGACGCCGAGATTGTTTCCTCAAAGAAACCTTACGCCTCCTAGAGGCCGGGAAAGTAGGGTCCCTGTAGTTGCTATCTGCTATAGCACGCTCTATACGAGAGCTCATGTCTTGATCGACATCTGGTGAAGTGTTACGTAACATCGAACACTTCACCCAGTGGATTTACACGTACCACTTCACGACCAGCATCCGGGTCTAGCCCTGTATGCTCTGGTCTTATCGCCAACAATGTCATTACCGACATTCAGTTTGGTGCCAACTCGGCCACCCTCACTCGGTGGAATTTCACGTGCCACCCCACTCACATCAGAGGAAGTACATTCTTGATGTCTCGGCCCTTGGCCAATCATGCTAATAGCATGCAGTGACTCATTATCACAACGAGTATCATTCAACGGAGTACAACTCTCTTCACATACGGTGTAAGAGTTCCGCTCAATATGGATGTCATAGACATTCGAGTTAATCAACTCCGACATACCAATGTCCAGCACATTGACATCTTCCGTCATTGGCTTGCGCCAATAGCGCTTTTGTTGCCTAGCGAAGGTGGGTTCATGACTCTCCAAAACTTCACTAGGAACATTGCGCGTTGCGCCTAAGGTCTTAGACCTCAAATCGATCCATGGTTCATAGCGTTCAAGCCAGGCCATGCCTAGGATGAGATCGTATCTCGAATCCAAGTCAAGGACAAGACAGCGTTCTGTGCTATCAAAGTCCAAAAACTTCACGCCCAAGTTCAACGGAACTTTAGGCACAGTAACGCGACTACCCGTCGCTAACCGAACAGTGATGGAATCACCTTCGTGCGCTTTACGCGCCTCAGCATATTGCTGACTCCCCTCAAGGGAACGGCGTCTAGCATAATTCCATGACGCCCCAGAATCGATTAATATCGACCAGTGCTTCTCAAAGCCTTTAACTATCGCCTCGGCGACCAACAAGCCAGGCTTGTATCCACGCTCTGTGCTTGCTGGCACGGAGCTCTGTGGGGCTAAGCCCTATTTTGCTCTACCTCGTAGAGAAGTGACAGAACTCAGTTCTACCCCAGTAGGGCACCCCGCGCCTACTGGGTGTCGACGTTTCCCCGTGCCATACCAGGTTTCTGGTTGCGGCCCATAGGGTTACGTTGTTGCTTACGCAAAGGACAAGTGGGGCGTAGATGTTTGGTGCTTCCACACGTATAACAACGTCTCACTTCCTGTCGTTGCTCTGCAACATGAAGATCCGCTTCACCTTCATCTTCAGCATAGCTGAGATCCATCGGTTCTGGCTTACAGTAAGCCGAGGTGCTTGCAGAGGTTGCTCTCGCAAAGCTTGGGTTGTACCCATTCCAACCAAGTCTTGCTGACGCGTAGTTATGCTCAGCATTTTGAGCGATGATCACAGCCTCTTCGAAAGTCGAGGGATGGACTCGAAACACCTCGGTCCTGGCAGCGCCATTGCGGAGACCTTCCATAAAGACTGTCACTCAGACAGTCTCAGGGAGAGGGTCAGACTGCATGGCAGATATCAGAGTTCTCAACTCTTGGACATAGTCCGTTAACTCGTTCTTACCCTGACGGGTGGACAAGAAGCGTGAACGCACGCGATAGGCCTGGTTGGGCGGCGAGAAAACTCGCAACAGGTCTAGCTTGAGCGAATTTCATGTGGGAAACGCCAAGTCGACCGACGTGCCGCACGTCAGAGCGTAATCTCTAGCTCTTCCATCGAGTATTGAGATCGCCAGCGATACTCGCTGATGCTCGACTGAGATCAAGCCAGATCTCATGGCCATCTCGATCTCAAGGATCCAGAGGATGAGGTTTACACCCTCCTTTCCGGAGAAATGCTTGACGTCCACCTTAAGGGGACAAGGCTTATCCTCTTTGTCTGGCATAGCCACAAAGCGTGTGGGCATACCCGACGCTACCTGGTTTTGAACCTGCCCTAAAAGGGCCGTTTCATACTGCATAAAGGTCTCGACACGAGCATTGAGCACGTCGGGACCTTGTGCAGCGAGAAACTCAACATATTCTGGGCCTACGGCCGCGGTTAGCTTATCTAGCACACCCTTTTGGGCCTCATTGAGGGGTGTGGATTGCTCCATCCTCGCAGAGGGTCAGTCGTAACGACTCAAGCGTAGATCGACTACAAGTGCTACCTAGTGTAGCGGAGCTACACAGCTCCTTAAGTCAGAGGAAGACTTTAACGCTCTCACGAGCAACTTTAGTTCACAGAACTCGACTCAGAGAGTCAATAACTCAGAGAGCTAACGGTCCCCGTTCTAGAGGGACCAAACGATTCAAACGAATCACAGCACAGAGTGCTCGAGGACAAGCTACCTTTACAGGCGTTGCTTTTGTCCTCCCGATCAAAGAAGCCTCGTAAGGCACGTGTCTCTTATTGATCAAAAGGGGAACTGAATTTTATTTCTTCTTTAAACATAAAGAAGACCATAGAACAACGTACTTAACCTAGTCACTAAGGTTCAAAGTAAAACCTCTCTAAAGATCTCGTAATCAATTGTTGACAGACATCAGTCTTCAACAATTGATACACTCACTGTGTTCTAAAATTACTTTTAGGGTACCCCCTCTCTTGTGTGCACCACACCTATCGTCGACTACCAGTCGACGTGTCACCCCGTTACAACTAACGTAATACCTATATTCAATAAACAGTTCTACTATTCCCTCAGAAAAGAGCTTTCGGGTTCTGTTTTGCCTACCGATTCCTCGGTTGCCCTGTGTACGCTTGTCGGGCACACGTCACCCTTGCGTTAAGCTCACGCAAGGGGTGCGCTCCGTTACAAGGAGGTAGGAGCAGTAGGATGAAAATAATATTACGTGCATTGTTTGCTCTGTCTCCTATCCACTAATTCTTAAAAGGTCTGTGCTCCAACCGTCCTAAGGACAGATGGTTGATGACCAACTCGTCTACTACCATCTTTCACTGACTATCTTTGACCAGATTGACGGCTGGCGCTAATCGCAACTCGCGACCTTTAACCTCAAATTCCAACATCAACACTCATTACAGCGTACACAGGTGCTTCGAAATCAAAAGAACATTATAAATGTAGAGTTAGCGCAATCAGCTGAACACACTAACTGAGCTAAATGGGGATTTTATGGTACAATATATTCACGTCATTACATATAAATTACATCCTTCTCGATTTATTGTAAATTTGTAACTTGACTATCGATACCTTGCTCGCCAGGTAAAATGTGCGTCTAGCACTGATTGGTGGATTCACCTACAGCCGCAAGACCTACATGGGTAGATGTCACCAAATACAAACATATCATCATTCTTATTATCCATATTATAGGAACACGATTTTTTATATTATTCGCGAAGACCACATGTAAGAATATGATGCACTTACATAAGTTTCGTGACGATATATCCGTGCTGAACTAGGTAAATACATTTATCTTTTTGTAGTAAATAAGTGAAGCAAGATACGTCATAAATAATACATTATTGCTTTAATGTTAAATATTTAAATAATATGCTTTCTAATTATGTAGCTTCTGTACTTTTTATTTCTGCAATTGCCTTAAAGCTTTCGACTCTATGTTTCTTATTTCTAAGTATGATTGGACTAAAATCCTTAATAAGTGAATATTACGCACCGCATACGCAAATCACACGCAAATCGTTTTGTAATTTTAACAAAGATTAAATCGATTCTAAATTTAGTATCACAATAGTTAGTAATGGAAAACCCAATATTCCTACCGATAACACCACTCAACTATCGAGCATGTGGTGCATTTTCACGTATCCGGAACTCTGTACGCCTTTTGTTCGTACCCTCTTCCTGAAAATCGACAATACTGAGTAACAATCAAAGAACGTTACGCTGTCGTACGAGTACGAAGTTATAAAATACAAGCGCGCAATCAACACAAATATTTGGCCGATAGAATAAGGTTGATCGACAAAATTGGCCTAAACGTCGCGCATTATACGCTGGCCATATTTGACCAGATCAGCCTTGCAAGTTTGACTCCCTCATCGCTCTCGCACGGTCGAGGGCGTACGTCTACAATTCGCTTCACGAACACCATCGGAACGAAGTCTAAACGGTGAGTAAGCACTGAAATACAAGCTCACAACGATGCAGCAGGACGAGGCCAAGATGTCGCGCTCGCTCCCTGGTGGCTGGCTGGAAAGCGGCCACGGAGCTGTGGTAGTTTATGTTAAGGATTTTCGGGACCCGCTCGAGCGCCGCAAGAAGCTCGTGCTACATCCATGGTCTACTATCAAGGACATTAAAAACAAATTGAAGGTGGTGTTCAACGTGCCGTCGAATGCGCAAAAGCTTTTCTACCACGGGCGAGAGCTCAAGAATACGCACAATTTGCAGCAATGTGGTATATACCATGACGATGCCGTTGTGGACTTTGTGGCTAGAAGACCGCAGAATGTTGCAATGGTGTACGCTCAAGAGTGCGAAATGGAGAGCGGAAGTGATGCGAGCAATAACAGGAATAATGGCGAAGGGCCTGGTGCGAAAAGAGCATCATCATGTCGAGTGAACAACAAGACGATGGCGAACTTGAGACCAGAGCAGATGCCCGCCGTGAATGTCCATCCATATGGTGCACATTTATTGCCAGTGGTTCTTATGAAAGTCATGCACCAGGTAAGCTGCATTTGCGGTGTAATGCGGCGGTTTCTTGCGTGAGTGTAAACTTGCATGAAAATTGTATGTGGATTTCGTGAAGGCGTTGCAAGGCCTTGCCTTGGGTCTCGCACCGGTGCTAGCAATGGATGGTACCGGCGGTACGTACTTTTTCAAGTGTCCATCCCACCGCAATGTGGGCTGCTTTAAGCCCCAAGACGAGGAGCCCTTTGGGCCTAATAATCCTCGCGGGTTGGTGGGTCGGCTAGGTCAGGTTAGTCGCGATCATCATGGGATGCGATCGTTTTATGGGCAAAACGTTTTCGCTTACTGCGGCTTTTTCGATACAGAGTGGCCTTCGTCGAGGAATTCTTTCTGGAGAAGCTTGCGAACGTGAGCTTGCCGCGTATATACTAGACAAGGTACCAGCTTACTGGGCTTTGTTAAATTGTCATACGATGACGAGTGTTAGTGTGCATGTAGCGTTCGAAATCTATGCATAGATTGCACATCGACTGACGATGTGCTTTCTGTACCATTCACGCGCAGGATCACTTTGCAGGAGTCCCCGCTACGTCACTTGTGGAGGCGCGACATCCCGTGTTCAATTACACGGCAGGTGTGGGCGCTTTACATTTTAAAATAGGATCGTTGCAGGAATTCGTACGTCACGATGACGTAGTGAGCGATCTGGCACCAAACCAATTTTCGGTCCACCAAGTCCACAAGATTGCGCTGCTGGACATGCGGCTTTTAAATACTGATCGAAATGACGCGAACATCTTGGTGCGCAAGCGGTGGTCATCGACAACAAGCCACACTGAATACGAATTGATACCGATCGACCACGGTTATTGCTTACCGCAGTTTCTAGAAATCGGCTGGTGTGATTGGTGCTGGTACAACTGGCCGCAGCTGCAGAAGCCACTGAGCGCTGAGGACCGATCGTACGTATTATCGTTATCGGCTCAGGAGGACGCAGACCGGCTGACAAAAAGAATTCCGTTGCGGCGTGCTTGCCGACGGAATATGATTATTGCTGGCATGGTGGTGCAAAAGGGCGTGTGTGCAGACCTGCCCTTGTTCGAAGTAGCTCGGATAATGTGTCGTGACGACCTCGACGCCCCGTCTACATTGGAGCAGTTGTGCATCAAGGCGTTTTGCCAGCTGCATGTTGTCAAGCAGCGCAAGGAAAACGAGAAGCTAGTTCACCACGGTCACGTGCAACCAGCCGTCGCTTCGGTGATCAAGTCAAGTAAATTGGCTGCTGCAGAACAAAGACGCGGAAGTGATCCAATCGGTATATCGCCATCTCCCCAGACATCGTTCCGTAATTTGCGGGTGTCGATTGATTCTACGTCAGTTCAAGAACCGTTCAGGGGTTCGCCTGTAGCGAACGGTGCACAATCCCCGCCTGGATTTTGGGCGAGCTATGCTCCCTTTAGCTTGCCTGATGAGGAACACAACAGTTCGTGTGAATTTTTGGAACGTGCGCCACTCAATGGTGCGTGTAAGCATTCTGAAGCGCGCACGAGCGAGAAATCGCGCCTAATGGGTGCTTGGGACAAGATGGCATCGCATGCCCTTTCAGATGCTATCCAATGCGCGAAGGTTGAGCACACAGGATCACGCAGATTACTCGACAATGCCATGGTAAATGGCCACAAGGGTTTGGTTCAAGATGATGGGTCACGTTCTTCGACATATTCTTCTATCGGCTTTGAAGAAGACAAGGATGAATTTGAGGCGCTGAATGATGAGCTTGATGGTAGCGTGCACGATGAAAGCCTTTTCCTCACCATTTTTAGCCGATTACTTGACGATCAGATCGAGGCGGTCAAATGGAGGCGATCAAAAGGATGCAGTCAGAAGCAGCCAGAACGAAAAGGCAGCATGTCGAATGCAGGAGCCGTGGACAACACCTTAATCCTTGTCTAGGACTAGCAAACAAAAACATCTTTTGTGATTGCTGTTAATTATCACGAATGTGCACGTGGCTTTAGGTGAGGCAATACATTTGATACAGCCTCTGCATCTCGAATCTTCATTTAAGATAGGCCGCTAAGCACAAGTCTGTCTAGCCTTCGGATTGCCGATTACACTTCGCTCTCAAACGATAACGTGCGCTGTGCTTTTTCAGTCAAACAAAGCAAAAATAAATCTATAAGAATAACGATCCCGCAGTGTACCAGGTAAATGTTATACTTTTAATTCGCTTTGTGCAAAGTTCCAGGCGTGTGGATTGTCTTTTTTGTTGCGCGTCGACAGCCGAAACTATCCATCACATGACATGCATGGATACCAAAACACTAACAGCTTTGCCGGCGCAAATATACATATAGGCCGATTGACGCTGTGGTTGAGTGGGTCTAAGTTGCTAGATATCATCGGAAGTGTACCACCGCAAGAACTTAGTGAGCTCGGGTGCTCACCCATTTTCAAAATTCCTATGACAAAACAAGGTGACGTACAAATTGCACGGCTTCTTAAGAAGACATTGTTTCATCCGTGCATGCGCTCTACGAGGGCATTTGCAAGCCTGACTTGTATCCTCGTATTTTGGCACACTACATGTAATGGTGTGTGGCTTGCACCGCTCTAGAGGTGTTCGAAAGCACTGTCATACGCCCGAGAGAGATTGATGGATCACGTAGGGCCACCGACCCGTCACATAGCATGTCACCTTCTTTACCTTAGCTCACTGTTACAAGTGTCGGCAATCATGCTAAGACTTACGAATCTTCTTGAGAGTCGAGCGTGGTATCGAAGGTGGCAGGGTAAGATATTCTTACGTTCGGTACACATCCGGTATCATATGGGCACATTTTGCTATGGACGAATTGTGCTGGACCAATCGATCATCACATTCAGCATGCTAGAATGACAGCACACTATAAAAAGAAGGACTCTCGAGTCTTAGTCCAATTATCTGTGATATCTTTTGCAAAGACCAGGTAAGCGTAAGCTGTCGTCGGGAATTGGGGGGTTGGCAAGAAGGATGTGTTATGATACGAGGAGCAGCAGCGCGTGTACGTATAAAAGGTTATCGAGTAGCTTTCTACTACTCTGGCAGCGCCGAGACTATTCGCTCTCACTTCTTTTTTGCAAGTTTGATACCGAAACTACTGCTGAAGCTATCGCTTCTGCTACCTCAACTACCCTGACTAGCTGAACTACCTCCACTACCCTGGCTAGCCGCACTACCTCAAATGTTCTGTGTAACGGGGCAGCCCGTTACATGAAATTGTCACTTTAAGGAAAGTGACAATAAAGAATATAAAGATGGGTATTCTTTAAACAATATCACCAAAGTGGTGATATTGAAGGGTCGACCAAAGGGTCTGTTCATTGGTTGATATCGTGATGATATCAACCCACCAATCGCCGCAAGACGCGCGCAATGAGTGGTGACGAGACGTCACCATACATCCAGTTATATTAGTATAGTTAAACTAAGTCAAACGAAGAGACAGTAGTTTAAAGACTTAATTATATTAATATAACAGCTCTACTTTTGCCCTACCTACGCTTCCTCGCTTGCCACGTGTACGTCTGTCGGGGCACCCAAAACCCTTGCGTTAAGTTACGCAAGGGTGTGCCCCGTTACACCTGGTAGCACTTTGTAGTCCTTCCAAGGACCACAACATCCAACCTGAACATGTTGGATGATGAAGGGACCTTTCACGCCACGCATGAAGGGTTTACCCACTTGAGTGACATCGAATGGGGTGCGGTAGAACGAATGAGTTCTACCGTAGGCGATCTCGTCGTTAGCGCCATGTTGGAGTCTCTAGACAGAGACCAACAACATGCCGCTATTGCCAAGTTCATTCAGAATGAACTTGCTCTCGAGAGGGACAAGTAGCCTTGCTTCACCAGCAAGGCTCTCAACAGGCCGAGCAGTTGAGAGAACTCGGTGCTCAACAGACGGAGCTGTTGAGACAGCAGCAATTCCATGCTGCTGTGGGCGGGACGGCGCATGCGCGTCGTCCCGAAGTCATGAAAGTTGACATCTCCAAGTACAGTGGAGTCCCGGAAGACTCCCTGTTACTGTGGTTTGTCGAACTCGACAGAGCCCTAAGGGCTCGTCGCGTCGAAGATGAGCAAATGAAACTCACATTTGCTCAGACCCACTTGGCAGGGCGTGCCAAAACTTGGTCCCTGGGACTCGAGAGTAGCGACCCAAACGTGTTTAGGTCGCCAGATGACTTCAAGTCCCGGCTCAGACAAACGTTTGAGCCGCCACGGGCTGAGTTCAGGGCTCGTTCAGAGCTCCTGAAACTCAAATAGGGTAAGCGTGATGTGCACGCTTACGCACAACATATACGACTCCTTGCGAGTAGTATAACTGCTAACCCAGTACATGAACACACGTTGAGTACGGTTTTCATGCAAGGGCTCGCAGAGGGGTCCGTCAGGAGCCACCTGTTCCGCCTTGAGCTGAATACGCTGGAAGATGCGATATCAGCCGCGGAACAGGAAGACTTTAGCATGAGACAGGCTCATGCTAGCTTAAACTCTTATCGTCCACCGAGACGACAAGAGATCGGAGGTCCAGAACCAATGGACCTCTGCTATGTTGAGAGCGAGAGACCTCGCTCTTCGAACAACAAGCGATTGCAGAGGTGCAATCGCTGTCAGAAGTTAGGGCACTACGCATACGAGTGTAGTGCTCCACGCCCAGTACCAAACAGTACTGAGCGAAATGGACGACCATTCGCCAGAAAGGGCAATGGTCGTGGGTCCAGCGCTGTTGCGAAGCCGCAACAGCGAGACGGACCATCAAAAAATGGTCGGGGTCAGTAGGGGCGGAGCGCCCTACTGATCCAGCAACCTCAAGAGAATTTGTAAATCTCTTGACGAAGGTTGCTCTAGATACACAATCATTGTGTGTCTCTGCACCTGGTGATGACGTTTCGCTCATCACCTTGAAGTTGGAAGCGACAAATGATTTGTCGCTTCGTGCCCTAGTAGACTGTGGGGCGTCGAACAACTTTGTTCGTCGCCAGTCACTAGAGGGTCGTAGGCTCAAGTTCATTGAGCGCGACATTCCTTCAACGAGGATGACAGTGTGCCTCGCCACAGGCGCATCGATAACCGTTGAGAAACGTGTAGTAGGAATCCACTACACGTTAGAGGGCGAACAGTACGATGATGACTTCATCGTATTGGATCTGGATGACAAATTTGATGTCATCCTGGGATTACCTTGGCTCAGAAAGTACGAGCCAAGGGTGAGCTGGCAGCATCGATCCGTGAAGATGTCTGCTTCTTGTTCATCAGATGGCCATCTGATGAACATCTTGGAGCGTCCACAAGCGTGTGGATGTTCTGCGAGTGAGTGCGATGGCCTCACTTGCGGTACGGTCGTTAGCACGACTGCACAAGATCATAGTGTAGTTGATCACTACACTGTGGAGCAAGCTCCCGGCGGCTGTACAGATGTACAGGCGGCGCCGAAGGTCCACCACTCGAATAAGTCGAGTGGACCGGGACATGGATGCATGCCTAGCGGGCAGCATCTTAGAAGAAAGAAATCTGTTGCCCCCAAGGGGCAACATGAAAATCCTAGGTCGACTGGAGAGTCGACCGTAGAGGATCGGTGCCTGACTGTGGTTGCACAGCCACAGTCGGAAGACGTCGAGGGAATAAGTCCCCACGTACTTGAGGAAGGAATTCCCCAAGAGTCGCTTGCTGAGTGATTAGGCCCTCAGCAACCTGTGGAAGCAAGTTCCCAGGAAGAAACCGAGACGTTGAACGTCTTGGTTAATGACGGATCAAGCGTAGGCGCTTATACGCTTGATCTGATTGTGCCTCCGAAGTTGACTTCGGAGATAACTCAGTTGCCAACGCTAGAACCGAAACGGTTCTTGCGTGATCTGCGTAGTGGCAAAGTCAAGCAGATCTGCATACTCGTCACAGAGGATGAGTATGTGACCGACATTCGGTCGGCAACAGTGTTTGCTGAGAACGAACGGGTTCTCAGCAGCTCATCGATGGACGAAAGCTTCATCGGTGAGAAGACTCAGATTGAACGATACACGTCTCAATCCTGGGAGTCACTTCAGGCAAATCCTTTGTATAAGGATTCGATCGAATTCAGGGATGTGTTCCCTGAATCCGTACCTTGCGAGTTGCCTAAGGACAAAGGCACTCGACACGAGATCGAGCTCAAACCGGGCTCGAAGTAATGTGTCATGAAGCAGTGGCCACTGCCTCGTGAACAAGTACTAGCGATCGACAAGTTCTTTGCCGATCGCTTAGCAGCGGGCCATGTGAGGGAATCAACATCCCCTCACAGCTCTCCGACCTTCTGTGTGCGAAAGGCCACAGGAGGGTGGCGGATAGTGCACGCATTCAACAAATTGAATGCTGCAACGGTACCGACTCAGACGTCGATACCGAAGAAGGACGTGATCATAGATGGTATGTCAAAGAGTACCATCTTTTCGTCCATGGATCTGATGGATCCTATCAGATCCTCATGCGTTAACGGGACGTCCCGTTCACGGCAGTGAGTACCCCCAGCGGTATGCTGTGGGAGTGGCTAGTGAGGCCTCAGGGGATGAGCAACACCCCTGCAACATTCAACAGATGTGTCACCAATGTGTTGAGACCGGTGCGAGACTTCGCAACCGAGTTACTTCGACGATGTGTTCGTTCATATCCGGGATATGGACGGAAAGACGGACGTTGAAGTTCACAGAACTCACGTTCGTCGGGTTCTTCAACTTATGCGCAAGTATAAGTTGTACGACAACCTCAGGAAGTGTATAATCGCGGCTAGCGATTTAGCTCTCCTTAGGTGCACCGTGGGTAAACACGGCGTACGCCCTGATCCCGAAAAGATCAAGGCGATCACCGACTGGCCAGTGCCAGTCGATGTCAAGGGACTAAGGAAGTTCCTTGGTCTTGCGGTGTACTTGCACAAGTACTCG